CTGGCCCCTGCATCTGCTTGCAGGCACTTTAATCCGCTGAGCTATTCGGCGGCCCTAAGCCAAGAATTTAAAATCAAATCTTTGAAATTCTGGCATTTCTTCTTGCTTTGCCTCAAGGGTGTGTGTGTGTGTGTGTGTGTGTGTGTGTGTGTGTGAAGTCTGGTTAGCTTTCTTAAAATTTTTCATATACCCTTAAATTTTAGATTTTTAAATTGTTTTTATTCTAGTCCTGCTGTATCTCACATCTGTGCTTAGCTTTTCACTTATGAATCATGTTTCATGTGTATGAACAGCACTGGGAACGTGACCTTTCTCATGACCCTATAAGCTAAATTTTTGCTTTGCATTTCCCAGAAGAAATGTCACTAAACATGTACATTCTGCTTTTCCCTTAGGTAAAAATCTCTACACCAATGAATATGTAGCAATCAAACTGGTGAGTAGAATCTGTGTTCATAGTAACTGTGCTTCGGCACTCTCCCTGCTCAAGTCTTTGTTCAGGAAAGGGCTGTCAGCATTCGCAGCAGTGCTATTTTCCCCTTGTATATGATCTCAAGTGTTAATTTTTCTTCAATTATAATATAATGTGCCAGGGAGATAGCTGAGCGGCATAAGCATCTGTCTGGCAAGTGCAAGGTCTTGAGTTTGATTTAAATTACTAGTGTAGCAATGGTAAATCAAAAATTCCTTCCTAAAAAATTGTGGCCTTTTTATCCTTCACCTTTAAAAAGATAGTCTCATTGAAGATTCATTTTGTTTTTCTTCACTATATATATCTGATCCACTTTGACAATGCAAGGTGTTAATATACTTTGAGTAAAACCAAATCTAATCATTTAATCATGCCCAAGAAAAGCTGTCAAGCATGAAAATCCAAGTGGTCACACTAGAGGCAGAGTTCAGTACTGATCTCATGAATAACTAAACAAGTCATTAAAAATAACATCTTATTTTATTTATTTTAGATGTTTGAGACTAGGTCTCACCCCTTCCTCTGTGTGGCTTTGAGCTGATTGTACACCCTAAGTTTGTCATGGACTCATGATCTCCTGCCTCAGCCTCTCAGTTTCTGGGGAAACTGGTGTGCTACAGGTGTGCGACACCATGGCCAGCAGGATCTTACTTTTGAAACAAGAGAATAATTTTGTTACTGTTGGGGAGTAATAATTTTGGAAGAAACAGTTCTTTGTCTTATATTTAGAGGTGCTTCAAAGCCATTTCTTGTCATATAAAATAAATCATATGATTAGTTCCTATGAAACTGTGGTTGCTCATCCTTTTAGTAAAGGTGCGTTGGCCAGAATCTCCTGGTAATTTTAAGTCTTAGTACTTTTAGGCCAGAGGAGTGAACGGTTAGGGAAATAGTCTTCCGGTGGTTGAATGTTGTTCACATTGAGTGCGCTCACACCTGTTGTGTGCTGGGTCCCTTCTCATTGGGCTTGTTAGTTTGGTAAGGAGTTCTCAGTGAAGGGGTAGATGTGAGCAGGCTGCTCACAGTGAAACCCAGTGCTTTTAGGTTTCGACTTGAAATTTTTATGGAGAAATGAAGGAATGAATATGGTAGTGCGGGTCACACATCCTCTCTGGTTGCAGTTGAAGGATTAACCATATTTATTTATAGGAATTTTATTGTTACTTACAAAAGTATTCTCTCATAAATCTTTTTTCATTTTCTTACTGAATAATCCAGAATAATCTTGGCTTATTTGGGGTACTGATAGGGAAAAGCAAGCAGTCCTTTGAACACTTTAACATTTGGCCTCATTACTGTATACCTGTTACTGTGCCTTTGTATATCCAGACTTCTTCAGAGACTGTTAGGGACAGTTGTTTTTATCTAGATTCTCCCACATGTTTCACAGTAGTTGGCTTGTGTAGATAATCCCATGAACATATTATGGATATGACTGACCATAACATTTCACTTTCCTTTGTTTAAAGTTCAGTTCTTTATGGCCAATAGTTAAAAATACAGGCTTGGGTCCAGAGCAGTAGTAGAGTGCTTCTGCAGCAGGTGTGAGGCTTATCTTCAGAACCAAAACCAAAACAAATGAAGCATAGAACTTATGTCATCTGGTATGATGTGCCTCAGTACTGTATTTCTCTTCCAGTAAGTCTTAAGTAAAGCTTCTTAAGAGAGAAGCAGCCTTTTCTGTGGTCCTCTAGCTTTTGGGCTTATTCTCCAGGGGAGTCTCGAGGGCGGTAATCGAGCTCCTTTCATGGTAATGGCAACATTCGCCTGAAGCAGCGCACTCCTACAAGGTAGCCATCTGCTGTTGGTTTAGGATTTCACGCAGGCATGTGTGTTCCAGAATAACCACGATTCTGGCCGATGGCCAGCCCTTTATGGAAATGTAATCAGCATGCGGCACGGAAAGGCAGAGCCCTGCTGCTGCTTTTCCGTTCTACTTTGTTTGGATCTTCATTGTGAGTTTTTGTTTCTTAGGCTTTTAAGAACTTTTAAAAATACACAAAAGTAAAGAAGATACGTGCTGAATCCTTTTATTACCCAATGTCTAGAGTGAGAGTTAAGATAGCATTCTGTCCTTGTTGCTAATCTTGCTGCCTTCTCTAAGCTTAGGACTGTGTGTGAGGCCCTTTGTCCTTAGTGCTTCCATGAGAGCTCCTGGAAACCCCAGTTGACTTGAGCAGGCTACAGCCACATGGTGAAGTGGTTGGCTGGGGTGTGACTCTGCGCCTGTGATAAAAGCCCCCCTCCCCATCTGAGTATATGTAATGTATATGCCAGTATTCTACCCTGGAACTCTTACTTACTTAGTTCTCAAGATCACATTGCCTTTTTTTTTCTTGTATTTAGGGCCAGATCTCCAGGGTCTTACTATGTAGATCAGACTCCTAGTGATTCTCCTGTTTTCAGCCTCCCAAGTGCTGGGATTACAGGCCTGTGCCACTATGCCCAGTCTCAATTGTCTCCTCAGTGCACCCCAGGGGCGGGGCCAGCACTAGATTGACTGTTTCCTATTAAGATTTCCAGCAAGAAGTTTGAGAACAGTATGTCTAAGGAAAGATTTTAAATTTGTGACCCCTTGTGGATTATCATAATCTAACAACCATTTCTTCACAAACAGTCCTGTTCCTAGTGTTTTGATCAGCCCCTAGTTCCATAGTGATGTGTTTGACTCTTCCTGAAATTATCATTAGGAACTTGCAGTTGGACTGATTCTGTAACTGGCTGCTTTGGGGGCGATAAGGTGGGTGAGCTAGAGTGGTCCCTTTCTATTTGGAAAAAAGTGAAGAAAACCATGACTATTGCACTAGTTTCACTTTTCTTTTTTTTCTGTATTTTAGGGAAGGGGGTCTACAGGGTCTCACTGAGTAGATTGGACTGGTAGTGATCCTCCTGTTTACAGCTTCCTAAGAGCAGGGATTACAGTTGTGTGCCACCACACCCAGTCTCAGTTGCCATCTCAGTGTGCCCCAGGGATGGGGCCGCGGTGGCAGGCCAAGGGATCAAACCCCCAGCCCCTGCTCCTGCTTGCAGGCACTGTAATCTGCCAAGCTATTTGACCGGCCCTCACTTTTCTTTTGACTGGGGAATTTTGTTCTTTTTTTTTTTTTTTTTTTTTTGATGGTACCAGGAATCAAACTCAGGACCTTGTGCTTGCCAGGCAAGGACCAATTCCACTGAGCTATCCCCCTAGCCCCATGACTGGAGAATTTTGAGAACCTTGAACTCCAATGACTGTTGAGTTTAAGTTTTACTTCATAGAGCTTCTCAGTGATACAAAATATTCCAGTCTGCCTAAGTTGATTCAGATCCAACCTTACTAAATGCAGGAGATAAACTGAAAAATTTCAAGGAAACCTCTGAATCTGTAGTTTGTGGATTCTGTACCTTAAAAAAAATGCAGAAAATTTCAGGTGGATTTAGGAAAGAGTCTTCAAAGAATTAAAAAATAGAGCCAACAAGGAAGAGTTAAGTGAATAGAAATTAAATTGCCTGCAGGTCAGTCTAGAGAATGATTGAGTTGCTCTTGCTCTTTGAAGATAACTAATAACGTATTCCTAGATGTGAAAAACCATTTTATCTTGTTACTGAGGACATACAAAGATTAAAAATGTTTCAGTAACAAGCTTTAAACTAAATATAAAGACCTTCCAAACCATGAAACTTGTTGAACACCAGGCATGAATTATCAGGGGAAGCTCTGGAATCTACTTCTTTGGAGTTTGAACAAAAACGTCAATCATGGGGGGTGGGGGGGGAGGATAATAGTCTTTTCAAAAACAGTAGTGCTTTTACTGCGCTTCCACATAGGAAGTGTGATTTTTTAAAAAGTAGTGTGGATATTTAAATTTTTAAAATCAGTTAAAACAGAAGGCATGCTGTCCTTAGCCCCTCTTGGGGTAGTCTCCCTGCTTGGAATACACTCACACTTTCATTCTTGCCACTTCATGAAGTAGTTCTAATTGTCCTATTTTGTGAGTGTCCGTAGTTGTGCTGTCACAGTTGTCTTGGTGTCCTGAATTGTTTCAATATGTGTACTTTTCATAGTCATTTAGACTTTGGGAAAGAGTAGGATGTGGCCCAGTGTCAGATCCAGAGGATGAGGACATGGTTTTTGCTGTTTTACTTTTTAAAGGTTTGTTTTGTTTTGTTTTGTTTTGTTTTTTTTAAATGCATTTAGTACAGGGTCTACAGGTTCTCACTACGTAGAATAGACTCATAGTGATCCTCCTGTTTTCAGCCTCCCAAGTGCTGGGATTACAGGCGTGCGCCACCACGCCCAGTCTCAATCACCATCTCAGCGCGCCCTGGAGGTGGAGCCAACAGGACACACCGGGGACTGAACCCCAGCTGCTGTGCTCTGCCCAGGCAGGCACTTTAGTCCACTGAGCTATCAGGCCGGCCCTTTTTAAATTTTTTACTTGGCTCTATTTATAGTACATGATTGCACTTGTTATGAAGAATGGGTTGAAGTCAGATTTTTAAGTGCCTGCCTTTCCACAGGATGGCACTTGGCAGCAGCTTACACTACATTTTTGGGTTTTTTTTTTTTTTTTTTGTGCTGTATTGTAATGGGGATCAAGGCCAGGGCTTTGTGCATGCAAAGCTAGAGCTCTACCGGTGAGCCACATCCCTAGTCTAGTGCCAGTTTTTATCCTAACTCCTACAGTGAAGTTGGGCCTTTACTTTATACTATAAAAATTAACTTACATGGGCTAAACACCTCAGTGTGAGGTCTAAAACTCTCAGCAGGAAACACTGAGGAATGTGCTATGACCTTGGACTTGGCAGTAGTGTCTTGGGTATATCTTTTACATACTGAATGTGAAAAGATCCAATAAGAAATATCTAGTTTACCGTTTTAACCAGTTGTCATCGAGCACTTCTGTGTTATAGAGTACATTGGAATTGCTGTACTGCCATCATTACCACCTGTCTCCAAAGCTTCGTCTTCCTCAGCTGCAACTTGTGTCAATCCTCTTTCCTCCTGTTTCCAACTTAGGCAATCATCACTGCACTTTCTCTTTCTGTGAGTTATACTGTGACCGGTAGGCAGCTGCGCAGCAAGTGTGATGAATTTTGGGGTAGCACACCTGGTTGCTTTTTCTTTTTCCTTGGTACCTGGGATCGAACTCGGAGCCTTGCACTTGCCAGACAGGCACTTATGCCACTTGCCAGGTGCTTATACCGCTGAGCTATCTCCCCGGCCCTACTCTTTCTGTGACTTAGACTTCACTCAGTACTTTCTGGAAGTGGAATCATACACTGTTTAACCTTTGTGACTAGCTTATTTCACTCAAACTTCTTCAAGGTTCATCCTGTTGCAGCATATCAGAGTTTCTTTGCTTTTAAATCTAGAAAAGATTCCATTCTAGGTAGATGCTACATTTTACCCAGATATCATCTATAGAGTCCCTGCTTTCAGTTCTTCGGTTTATATAAACCCGGAAGTGGAATCACTATATTTAATATCATTTACTGTAGCAGCTGCACTGTTTTACATTCCTGCTAGCAGTATAGAAGGGTTCCACTTTCACATTTGTCAGCACTTGTTTTCTATTTTTGATAATAGCCATCCTACTAGGTGTGTAGATGCTGGCTTTCCTAGAGAGCGGTGTAACTTTGTGATGATTTTTGCCTACCATGTATTTACAAAAGGGACAAGAAATCTTTTAGAGTAATGTTTTATTGTCTTGTTAGCTGTTTGACTGGTACACTGTCAATTCAGAAAAATTAACAAGCTAGATTTTTGCTTGCTTGTTTGAGCGGGAGGGAGGATCTGGCTATGCTGTCCAGGCCTGCCTTGCACTCACTATGTAGCCTAGATCAAACCGGGATGGCAGCTGTGTAGGCTGGATCCAACTCAGCAGTCCTCCTGTGTCAGCCTCCTAAGTGCTGGGATTGTAGGTGTGCACCACCATACCTGGCCAACAGCCAGTTCCTGAAGTGTGAAATCGAGCTAAGTATGGTTATTGGGCCGCTTTTCTCTGGCAACTTCCACTTTTGGGAATTTGACCACCATTACATGTTAAATTGTACATGTAGTTTTTAATTCTCATAAGTAAAAATATGAATACAGGTGTGCCTGACAGCATTGTTTATAATATTAAAAACTGAAAAGTATGCAGATACAGAGAAGTGTTTTAATTATTAAAAATAGGGGCTGAGGAGATAGCTTGGTGGTCTAAGTGCCTGCCTGACAAGCCCAAGGACCCGGATTCGATTCCTGGTACTGCATACCATGCTGGCCTCCCCCAGGCACACACCTATAATCCCACTGCTGGGGAAGCTGTGACAGGAGGATCACTATGAGTCCAAACTGCGAAGCTAAACCTTGTACTAAGTAAATGATTTTTAAAAAAATTTAAAATACAATATACCTTTATTACTGCCATGGAAAGATGTCATTGTCACATATTAAAATTCATAAACACATTAATAAACAAATACAATGATTTATATAAAATTTTTGAGTGCATATTATATATAAATACATGAGTAAATAAGTACTTAAAAAATCACTAAAACAGATATTAATAGTGGCTGTCTTACTGTGGTAGGAGCTCAGGCTATTTTTATTTTCCTAAGTGAATTTTTTTTAACACTTAATATTTTTCTAAAAATAGTAAAATAGGGTCCTGGGGAGATGGCTCAGTAGAATAAGTGCTTCCCTGGCAAGTGCAAGAACCTGAGTTCAATCCCCGGTTCTGGAGGAAAACAAAAAGTAAAACTGTTTTAACACCTCCTCTCAGATCATAAACAGGAAATCCATGCTTTTTTTTTTTTTTTTTTTTAAGATTTCACATTTGGTTTCTTGGGAAAACAATATATTTTAAGAGGGTATTTTATATGATGGGAGCTGTTCTTGAATGATCCTCACAGTGTGTTTGTGTTTGACTCCCTGTGGGAGAGATTGGTGTCATCTGGCTCATGTTAGCTGCACGGTAATTGTGATAAGAACAGATTCCTGCGCAGAGGGATTAGCCCTTTTTGCTCTGAGGAACTGCAGAGTTGCGCTTGCCTAAGTCTGATTCTCTTTGGGTTTCAGGAACCAATAAAATCCCGAGCTCCACAGCTTCATGTAGAGTACAAGTATTATAAACAACTCGGCAGCGCAGGTAAGTCAAGATTTTTGCCTTTTCCCCCTCTCTAGTTAGTATAATTTTACTTGGAAACCCTCAAACAAGCATATTTTATTTGGCAAAAAGCCAGACCTCTCGCTGATAACCAGTCCTTTGCTCTTCTGTTCCCAGGGGGATGATTGAGCTGCCTGGTGCTCCGTGCTGTCCCCACAGATAAACCTTTAAATGTTTTCAGTGGCTTCAGATACCTCTGTGGGGGGAGTTTTGCTTTTTGGTAGTTCATTCCTTTTTTGTTTCTTTTCGGGCCATTCTAGGACTTTAACCCAGGATCGTCACACTGAGGTACATTCCCAGGTCTTTTTAAAATTTATCTTTGTAAAAAATAAAGTAAAAGGCTGGGAAGATGGCTCAGTAGAATAAGTGCTTGCCTGGCAAGTGCAAAGGCCTGAGTTCCATCCCTGGTTCAGCCAAAAATAAAGTAAAATAAAATTTATCTTTTTAATTTGAGATAGGGTCTCATTAAGGCACTAAATCACCCAAGTTGGGCTCAGACTTGCAATCTCAGGGCCTTAGCTTCCCAAAGTGCTGGGAGAAGCTGAGGCAGGAGGATCATCACAAGTTGGAAGCCAGCCTGGCCAACACAGTGATTCAAGTTTAGCCTGAATTAAATGAGATCCTGTCTTTAAAAAAAAAAAAAGTGCTGGGACTATAGGCATATGCTGCTGCACCCATGTATTCTTTTATTTTTATTTATTTATTTTTTTAGTAGTACCGGGGATTGAACTCAGGACCTTGTACTTGCCAAGCAGCAGACTCTTAGGCCCTTGAGTTCTCCCCAGCCCCATGTATTCTTTTAATTGCTTTATGTATATCAAAAAGAAAGGAAAAAAGATTGATAATTTACATGCTATATTCTAATATATTGAGATACATTCTAAAATACCGTAACACTGTCTTTTATCCATTATTTTTTATTAGTTTGCGAGAGCTATCCATATGTTTGCAGTAATATGACCCTTTGGGATTTTTTTTTTTTTTTTTTAAGGTACTAGGGATTACCCCCAGGGTGTTGCACTTTGCTCTGCTGCTATCTTTCCAACCCTTCTGTGGATCTTGTTAAGTTTCATAGGCTGGCCTCGAACTTGTGATCCTTGTGCCATAGCCTCCTAGGTAGTTGGGATTTCAGGTGTGTGCCACTGTACATGGCACCTTGGGATATTTTCTAAAATTAAAGTTGTAATTTTTAAACTCTTTTTTTCTTTTTCTCCTACATTTTAGGACAGGGCCTATAGGGTATACAGGGCCTCACTACGTAGATCGGACTCCTGGTGATTCTCTTGTTTTTAGCATCGTAAATGCTGGGATTACAGGCGTGCACCACCACGCCCAGTCTCAATCTCTACCTCAGCACGCCCTGCGGATGGGGCCGGCACAACACGCCGGGGATTGAACCCGCCACTGCGCTCTACCTAAGCAGGCACTTTAGTCTGCTGAGCTATCAGGCTGGCCCTTTAAATTTGTAATTTTTAAATGTCTGTTGTTTACCAAAAAGCTCTAATTCCTAAAATATCATACTAGCTTTCAGAAAAATACTTTGATTAAGCAAATGTACCAACCCTGAATAAGCTACACTTTTAGGTCATCTCAGAAGACAAAATCCTCTGAGTTCAATTCCCAGTACCACAAAAAAAAAAAGACAAAATCTTTCATGGCTAGTTTCATTAGCTGACAGTTGTAGGACGTCTTCTGCTTTTATATTTCTGTCAGTGAGCTACTTTTATATGAATAAAGCATGGTTCTAAGGTGCTATTGATGGAATTTTACTTAAATAATACCTAGTGGCTATAGGATTATGTATGGGCCGTTGGGTGTTACTGAAGCTGTACAGCCTGACCACGGTGGTAGTCTGCCATTGGCATAGTCTAGGAAGACACGCTGGGTGTTTGTCTTTCATTGAACTCAGTGTGTGAATTTTTGTTAACAGTAAGTAGTCTCTTGATACATTTCTTGACTAATTATATCCTTAATAATGTAATTTTCCTGGCATAAAATGTGAGACTAGCAACTAAACTCTCTGGTGTATGTGTGTGGCTTAAGGTTTATCTTCCCTTATGTTTTAGAAATTTTAATTGCTGTTCCTATGTTTTTCCAGTTTCATAATGTTCTGAATTTCATACATTTCACAGTGGTGGCTATCACAGCCCACTTTTGATAAATGTGCTCACGCATCTCTCACAGATGTAAGACATAGGCAGAAACATGCTTAGTCCAGCCTCACTGGGGGAAGGGACCAGGCGATTTACGGGGTTTACTCTGTAAGTCCTTCCCAATAGACCAGCAGATCAGGCCTGGCTTCATTTTCTAATAACGAGCCAAGTAAGTACACATGGTGGCTCATGTAGTGCTAGTAGCTGGGGAGGACTAGGTGGGAGTATTGCTCAGCCCGGGGGCTTGAGGCCACCACATCTCAGAAAAGCGGAAGAAGCTTAGCATGTAGCTTGGTGGTACTGCATGTGAATAGCCTGTTCAGGGCCTCAGGACTATTCAAAAAGGAGCCCCTCAAAATCTCACCAACTCGTTATATAGGAATCAAATATTTATTGCTTTGAACTTTCTCCAAAACAGAAAACATTGCAGCCTTGAGGTTTTGGCATTATTTGTACACCAAAAGCAAGGAGTAAATAGAACACTGGAAGAAAGGGAACTGTAAAGAAGATGGTAGCTTTGAGACTGGTAGGCAGCCACTGCTGACTGTGGGGACGTGGGGAGGGGCTCTGGCAGTGTCAGGCCTGTTGTTATAGTAGGCTGGCTGTTTTAGATCTCTCTAGAGTATTTCTGACAGTCGTCCACAAGTCATGAAGCCTTCTATTTTTATTTAGTGGCAATTCCTGGCCCCTTTGCTCCTTGAGCTCACCCACTCCTAACATAACTGATGTGGGCAGGTATTGTCTTCATGGATTCTTACCAGCAACTAACGGACAGCCACAACTTTTCCACAATAAGAACTTGGAAGACATTTTTAAATTTCTCTCCAGTGTTAAGAATGGCTTTTAGAATTTACTTAATATTTATCAGTCTCGCCTTGACTTTTAGCCATGGTGTTTATCATTATTTACTGATTCTTGTTTTTGTTTTTTTGGGTGTTTTTTGGCAGAACCAGGAACTGAACTCAGGCCCTTGTACTTGCCAGGAAAGCACTTATTCTACTGAGCCATCTTCCCAACCCCAGATTCTTGACAGTGGTCCAAAATTTGCTATTTTCCTTTTCCTGAAACATAATTGGACTTTCTTATATCAATTCAGAGACATTCGTTGTGTCTATTGGCTACTTCCTCATTTCCCGTAGGCCACCTCCAAGTCTTTGTGGCCAAGGGTTTTCCATTCGTTCATTCTGTCTGTATAGCATGGTTTAAGGTTCTTCCCTGCTACTGCTGTGTGAGCAGGTGCGCACACACACACGCACACACGCGCACGCGCGTGCGCAACATGTTTAGTTTTGTGATGCTCCTCTTAAATCAGCCTCATAATACAACAGATTTACTTTGCACATGGAGACTGGGGTTTGCTATCCTCTTTAATCTGGACACAAAGTTTCTCTTAATGTACATTAGTTCCCCCCCCAGCTTTATTGAGGTGATAAATAAAAATTACATATATTAACAGCCATTTCGTATAGGTGACCTCAGTGCTTTTATGGAGTCATACTCAACTGAAACCTATAAATCTTTTTTATGTAAACTACCATCAATGAAGAGGTTTCTTTTTTCTTTTTTACATTTTATAGTTCCATAATAATTTGGAGCACCTAAAGCTCTCAAATGTCATTTTCCCCCATCATTGCTAACACTTTAAAATCCTGATCGTATTATCCTATGGTATTTATGTGCTTTTTAAAAAACATAGAGAAACTTTTTGAGAGCAAGTCTTTTACTTTGGTCTTTTTTGCTCAGCGTCCAGTGTAGCTCTGTACGTGGGTAGGCAGTCAGTAGTCAAGTGGCAGTAAGAAGTTACTTGATAAGCTCGCCTTTTTAGATTTTTATCAAGTTACTAATAAAAATCCTTGAGCACAGCAAAAAAGGAGGAGGGAAGAAACTGCTTTTAACGTAGATGAGTTGACACAAGAAAGTAGATGGGATCTATGTCTCACGGTAAATGTGAGCATGAACATAGGGCTCCTTCTCAGCTTAAAAGCACAAGCGTCTCTCCAGGACAAGTTCTTGGCTGCAAGTGTGCCTCAGTAGTTAGGCTGGAGCAGCCAGAGCACGTAGGCCACCACTTGAGAACCAAGGTGATGCTGCGGCATTATAGATCTGTGTCAGAGACAGACAGGCCCAAATTCATGTAATCGGTGTGCTTACTCACCAGTGTCTTTGTCATCACAGGCTAGTGATCTGTGAAACATTTAGGGATCTCAATGAGGTAGGGTTTTTTTGTTTTTTTTTTTAAGCCCACTGTGACTTGGGCTCATTCGATGAGTTATTCAGTGCTTATGAAATAAATGTATACAGTTCTTCAGGACATTCACCAAGTTGTCCCAACCTCTCTCCTCCTTTCTCCCTCCCTCCATCTCTTGTCCCTTTCCCATTCGCAAAAGATCTAACTGTTTCCTGTTTTATTCTGCTCTTTAAATTATGTCGTTGATTTCTGATAAGAGTATTATAACCCCAGGTTTGTCTCTCTTACGTTCTTTCATTTAGTCGTTATAAGAGATAGTGGTGATTTTGAAATACTGAGAGCTATGAAATTAAAGATTAGGTTTATTCCAAAAGGTTCCTGAAGAAATCTAGGAAGATGTGTGCATATTTGCAAAAACAGCATAGCATGATATTTTTTGTGTATTTCAAGAAATATATGTGCCCACAGATATACCCACAGAAGCACAGAATGGCTTGGAATGGGTATGCAAAATCATTTTCTTTCAAGATCATGATTAAAAGTTGAAAGTTGCAGTAACCCTTGAGTTTTTATTTCATAGTATTAATTTGTTCACTAAGCACTTATTTTATACCAATTTTTGCAAAGACTATAGCAGTGGT